TGTAACAGTGAGTCCTCCGCTGCCTATCAGTTCCAGCAGATGACAATCGCAGGTGATTCAGAGTTGTGCGCCGTTTCCAGGAGCAAAACTACGAGGGCCACGACCGCGTGACAGGAGCCCTGCAACTTATGTGCAACACGACATCCGAGGAACCGCGAACAGTGTCCGGCGTGGGGCCGCATTTGTGTCGAATGTGGGAAGCGCAATCACTTCGCCCGCTGCTGTCAGTTGACAGATGTCAGTGCACTCGTTCCAGACAAATCAACAGAAGACACCGAAGAATCGATTGGTAATGTGTCTCGGAAAGCGTCGCAGAAGTGTGTCTATGCAAGTCTTCTGATCGAGGGACGGTCTGTGCGATTCCAGTTAGACACAGGCGCGACGATCAATATTTTGCCCAGAAAGCACTGCCGCGGCGTGCAAATTCAATCAGATCAAGATTATTTGCGCATGTGGAATGGTTCCAGACTCAAGCTAAAGGGTTCAGCGACAATTGAAGTGGTCAATCCGAGAGACGGTGTTTCGCATCGTCTGCAGTTCGTGATCGTGGATGAGGATCTCACGCCGATTCTCGGCATTGATTCGATTTTATCTCTTGGCTTTGTCATTTTTAACCATGATCGTTTTGTGTACGCTTGTCAGAGTGAAGCCGACGTTAGTGACCTGTATCCGTCTGTGTTTAGTCCGGGTTTAGGGGAATTTGAGGGTACCGCTCACCTGTCGTTAGATCCTTTGGTACGCCCGATTGCGTTACCTTCTAGGAGAGTCCCATTTGCGCTACGTGACCGATTTTCCGCGGAATTGAACAAGCTGGTTATGCAGGGTGTGGTTGCAAAGGTTGATGAGCCAACAGACTGGGTTAGCCAGGTCACAATCATTACGCAGAAAAATGGCGAACTAGGCGTATGTGTAGACCCGAAGCCACTGAATGAGGCCCTGCGTAGAGAACATTATGCGCTACCGACGTTAAAAGATGTTTTACCACGTTTGACAAAAGCTGTTTTTCACGAAAGTAGACCTTTCTTCCGCATTCTGGCACGTTGTTCTAGACGACGAATCCAGTTTCCTCACCACATTTGCTACACCGTTCGAACGTTATCGTTAGCTGCGATTACCGTTTGGCCTGAAGGTGTCTAGCGAAATTTTCCAAAAGCGTTTGGTGCAAACAATAGATGATTTAGATGGCGTAACCTGTGTGGCAGATGACGTTCTGATTTACGATTCTACCGAAGAAGAGCATGACACTAAGCTACACCGGTTCCTGAGGCGTTGCGTGCAAAAGAACATCAAGCTAAAACGCGAGAAAGTAGAGCTGCGGAAAGAGGTGATGATTTTCCATGGGCATGTGTTAACATCCGACGGAATCAGGGTTGACCCAGGGAACATTAAGGCGATACAAGAGATGCCGTCCCCTAACGATGTGAAGGCAGTCTATCGCCTAAACGGTATGGTGAATTATTTAAGCCGGTTCCTACCAGGACTCGCTGATGTCATGACTCCGATTAGGCAGTTAACTCACAAAGGAGTAAATTGGAGCTGAGGGAAGGAACAGGATTTGGCATTCGCAACCATTAAGAACCTTATCAGTAATGCGCCCGTACTCGGATATTACGATCCAGCACAACCATTGGAGGTACAGTGTGATAGTAGCCAGAGTGGAATAGGTGCTGTTCTATTGCAGAACGGAAGACCTTTGGATTTCCGCAGTCGAGCACTCACAGAGGCCGAGAAGCGGTACGCCCAGTTCGGGAAAGAGATGCTGGCAGTGGTCTATGCCATGGAGCGTTTCAATGATTATACTTTTGGAAGAAAGACAACCGTGCACACTGATCATAAGCCGCTGGTGTCGATAGCCACTAAACCACTGAATAATGTTCCTCGCCGTCTGCAGCGTATGCTTATCCGGCTCCAAAAGTATGACATTGACATTGTGTACGCACCTGGCACACAGATGTTCATCGCGGACACCCTGTCGAGAGCACAACCGCCAGTGGCCGAGCATCATCTAGAAGAGATCGAGACAGTTAGCATGGTGCAGCATCTGGCAGTGACAGAAAACCGTTTGAAAGACATAAGGCGTTTCACGGAGGAAGACCAAACTTTTGCAGCTTTGCGAGACGTTATCCTCAATGGGTGGCCAGAAACAAAGAAGCAGCTCCCGAAGGAATTAACACCCTACTTCAATTTTCCGGACGAACTCACTGTCTGTGACGGTCTGTTGTTCAAGGGAAGTCGAATCCTAATCCCTTCTTCTCTCCGAAAGGAGATGCTGGAGCATGTCCATCGCGCTCACCTGGGTGCAAATTACACCATTAATCGAGCAAGAGAACTGATGTTCTGGCCAGGAATGACAGGTCAGATCAATGATCATGTGTCTAACTGTGAGGCGTGTCGTTCACACGACATTCGGCAAACGAAGGAACCGATGATGCTGCATGATGTTCCGGACCGACCGTGGCAAAAAGTAGCAGTGGATCTATTCTGGGACAACGGAAAGGATTACTTACTCACGGTGGACTACTATAGTGATTACTTTGAAATCGATTTACTCACCACCACGACCACGGAGGCAGTAATCAACAAACTCAGATGTCAATTCGCACGGCACGGGATACCGGAGGAGCTAGTCTCGGACAACGGTCCCCAGTTCAGCAGCCGGGCATTCCAGGTTTTCGCAGCCAAATGGGAATTCGCACACCGGCAAACCAGTCCCTATCACAGTCAATCAAATGGGAAGGCAGAGTCGGCAGTGAAGCAAGCCAAGCGACTATTAGCGAAGGCTAGAGACACTCGGGAGGACCCATACCTCATGCTACTGGAGAGTCGCAACACTCCTTCAACGGATATCGGCCTAAGCCCAGTGCAGCGCCTATACAGTCGAAGGACCAGAACTGTGATGCCTGCATCCGCAACACTTCTGCGCCCTGTCACGCCACAACTTGAGAAAGTACAGAACAGTTTGAAAAGGCGCATGGCTACTCATAAACGGTACTACGACAACGGCGCACGGGAATTACCTGAGCTGACAGTGTGGGAAGAAGTATGGGTTGAACCAATTCCCGATGGACAGGAGCGGTGGAGAAAATGAGTCGTGGCTGCGAAAGTCGGTGAAAGGTCATACGAAGTAAATGTTGGAGGGAAGAGCTGAGAAGAAACCGAGTGCAGCTGAGGAGATGTCCGAGGCGACAGCATGAATCAGGGAGAGAGCGTTATACTGCGTGCGGCAATGAGGCGACATCGGCAGAGCCAACAAAGAGGACGCGGTGTGGTAAAGTGTATGGACTATTTAGCAAAGTACATCAGCAAGAACATGAAAATGGGAGGATGTGATAGGAGTATACACTCGAACGAACGTGCGGTGCCAGCCCAGCAAGGAAGCCGTTAGGCTGCCGCAAGGAAAGGCGACAGTCGATTGGACGTTCACACGTTTCTCGCATGCACGCTGATTGGCCAACAGTCGGACGCATTGGAGTGAGTTTGTTTGACTGAATCAAAGGAAAAATGTCATGCATTCACAAGGGTCGTTAATTATGGATCCAACTAGCTGTATATACCGATATGTTTCACTCGCCCTCCGCCTGCGTTTTCGCCCGGTCCTGTTGTTTGCTGAATATACGTTTTGTCCCTGAAGGACCGACTTTTTACACGTGCAACCAGTGGCATCCCTACATTTCGTTTTTTCATCTAGCGGTTACTTCTCCTTCCATCCAGATTACTTTAACGCATTTCCCTCTTGATTCCCTGTCCTTTGCTTTCTACCTGCATTTAACCTCGTTTTCTTGCCCTCATTGTTATTTTGGTGGTGTGTCGTGTTGACCTGATCAATCGCACTTCGGTGTCCGGATCATGGTTGTTCAAGTGAACTGAATTGGATTAAAGACGTTCATTCTACATCTTTCATTTTCTTTTCACTTTCACTCTCCTTAAGCGCTTACACGACAGTGTTGGGTATTTGTTTATTCTGAACTTGGACGATGACATCTCTCACTGTCTATCCGAAGTACTGTTGCTTTGCAATGAAAGCTGGCAGTTCTTCTTGTATTTAAGACTGCATGCGTCATCCATCATTTGAAAATTTTCGACAGAACAGTTTGAGTTCTGCTTCCACAAGTGCAGCGTTTAGTGGTAAGCCCTATCGATTGTTTGCATCCGAATTGAAGTTTAACATCGCTCTTCCTATTGGTTGGTATCTAGCCACCCTAGGGCTTCTTGCACGTTTCATCTATCGGAGCACGGTCTTTCCTAGCTTTCTGTTAAATCCTCATTCAGTGTATACCGTTTACTTGCCTATGTGGTCTAATCATCGGGCGGTACTAGCGCATCACTTCTATTATCGTTGCACGCCGGGACTTCACCGCATGCATTGGTTGCATTGTACTCCAGCGGTGTCGCACTCGGCCAGACGACAGATGTACTTATCTTCTATTCAGCATATAATCGATTGGTGTGTCGTTAATCTGTACTGATGCGAGGTGCCTTTCTTTTAGTACCCATATCTGAATGTCGCCCCGTTCTTCTTCGTGTCCATTTACTTGGCTTGGTTTAGCTGGTATATAGGTTTAACTTTGGGTGTTTCCTAAACCTGAAGAAAATTTTTTCTTCTCTCTCACTCGCAGACTTTCTTTTACATTGCGACTGACACCCGCGCCAGTCCTATAGACTTTGCTTTACCTACCGTCACTCTGCTTTCGTGTCCATGTTTCTTGGGACTCTTACGCACTCACCCAACGTTTCCCCTCTTGTTTACTTTGAGTATGCTCAGCCTCTTTTCGTGCCCTCTATCTTACTCGTTTTGCTTTGTATGTTCGGGTACGTTGTGTTCATATTGAACCAGTAAATATGTTGCTTGCATCAGAAAATTTTTCCAGACCTTGGAAAGTAAAATTTCTGAGACAGGTGGTCGCGTTTCCAATTCTGGGCAATGATTTCACCAACTAAGTGTACGCTATAGCCTATGTCCGCTTGTGCTTTACCACGTCTGCTCTTCGTCCCTTCATCAGATTACCTTACGCCACTCTATTTGGTGGTGCAGTTGCACTAACACGCGATCAATTCAAGCGTGTACGTGGTTTCTCTAACTGCTTCTTCGGATGGGGTGGCGAAGACGATGACATGTACATTCGCGTGCGTCATTACGGATATCAAATTTTCCGGCATCCTCCCTCGATCGCTCGGTACACAATGCTTTCGCATACTCGTGAAAAGCTCAACCAACCGAATCCAGCCAGGTCAGTGTTGTTACACACTCACCCACACTCTGTGTGTGTGTGTGTGTGTCTAGTAACTTCCATTTCATCGTCCTAATGAGTCTTTCTGTTCATCTTTTTGATCATTTTGGTGCGTTCAAGCGATTTCCTCTCAGCCATCCTCCGTTTTTTCAGTCCGGAAAACTACTGGATATTCGTTTCGTCATATTTGGACACGATATCATTGCCCTTTACTGTCTAATCAAAGGTGCTTTTATAACCTTTAATCGATCAACTTGTAGTGGGTTTTTGTATACCGCCTGGCTTTAAATGACATCCGTGTCCTACCTGACCATATAACGGATTGCGATATAGCAAATCTCATTCTCCATTATCGTCACGCTACCGCTGGGTGCAGAACTGGCTGGCTCGTTGCGATGCGACCTCAATCTCTTCCTCTAACACGAAGGTAATAAAGCCACTCGGGGAGCTGCGAACTTTAAGTAGAGAACTTGGGTGATTTTCGACTATTCTGATCACCATTTTCACATTTCATACAATCACAGGAATTTTCACTCGAAGGTTATCTATAAATCTGTCTGGTAATCCAGGAGCCCGTGTTTCTTTGTAATAACCAGTACACTGCGGTACCTGGGGGCGTGTTGCGCCGCCATATACGCACTGGACCTATTTGGCGCTGCGGACGGGTCCCCTTTTGCCAACCACATTGGTATGTTACCAGCAATCGAGTCATATTTAATGTCCTCTTCCTCGATTTCAAACTGCACTCTGCACATTCGTTTGAGTGTTGTTCTAACTCTCTGTGTATGTGTACTAGTTTTCTTTGGCGTCATGTTTGCCAGCGGGTTATCCTTACATTTGCCGTCAGTACTCATTTGATTTCCTTGGCATTACACTCATCCATTTCATTGCTCCTATGGTTTGCAGTCATTACAGATTGTCTCTTTGATGCCAACAATGACTTCACTTGTTCAAAACGCTGCGACATTCACGCTTCATACATGCGAAAGGCACCACAAACAGGACCATGAAGAAAAATTCTACAGTTATTTCCGTTTAGGAATGCCCGAAATGACTAAAGCTTACTTCCTGTTATTCCTTACCACTTCTCATAACGACTTTATTTCTTCTTGGCGCTTCGTCACGGTACTTATCAACAGGGTTCTACCAATACCGCACTTTGACAGCATCTGATGTGATTGTCATTTCTAGGAGCATTTGGAATCACCTCGTGGTCAAACGTTGTCAAATTTACTTAAGTGGCTCAAACTGTACACAGCTAAGTGTTGAATTTAGTCGGAGTGATCTCCTATAACCTTGTATTCAATGGATTGAAAAGAACGGGAGGTGCTACCTGTCAGATCAACCAAAGTCGAAACTTCTCAGACTCGACTGGATTTAAAAACTAGGTTTATTTTACGTTCCACTGTGTGATATATGTAATCCTGTTCAGGCTGTCACTTCCCCCGTCGCAGTCCATAGAAGACATGACACAATTGTTAAAGCTGTATTGTACGTCCGCGGTTCTAGACAGTCTCCGTCATTGTACGAAGTTTAGGGTAAACATACAAACGATACAGAAAATCGTTCTGCCGCCGTAAATGCAATCGCTACGATCCTTATGTAATCTTATGGGTTACTACAATGCCAAAATTGCTTCACCTACGTGCCGCGCTGAACGGGTTCTTGCCGAAGGTCCACTCCTAGAATTTCGCACACAAAGGTTAGAGTGCTCTGAACTGGTCAAGTTCTTGTTGACGGCAAACTTCATGTAAAAGCACTACGACCTATCTCAAGAAACCATTCTCTCAACGGATGCATGAAATCACAGATTCGGCTTAATAGTCTTGGATGTGTATCAGCGGGGACCCCAGAAGGCGATCGCCGACGCAGACAGCACTAACGAACATCCAACGAAATGCCATACACAACCTATGCAGGGAAAAAATTTCACAAAGCACTATATGACTACCGTTTCTAACGTTCATCTGATCACAAACCATGTGCAGTTAACCAATTGCAACTCAAGGTCCTCCCGCTACTGGGCCCTGATGTTAAGGCCAGCTACCAGTCTACGGTTCCCTTAAGTCAGGCGGATGGTTTGTCAGTGCTCACGAACTTCGAACAACCCGAACAGTAGTAGACAATTAATGTCAGTCCCTATTGGGCCTGACGTCGAATTCCTGGTGCGCAATGTCCTTCAAGGTTTACCAGTTACATCAGAAACAGTGGGGCTGAAATGCTAAAGAAAGTCACTCCATTCACCGGATCCAGTTGGTCACATTCATACTGATCAACTGAACTGCGACAGTACTTCCCGTAGCGTCTCTCTCCATTTTAAAAGGTTGCACTCGGTGTCTGGAAAACTTCCTCTTTTTCGCACCTTTTAACTGACATGTATTGCTCAATTTCACACAGGACGTCCTGGAAACAACCCCGTGAACTCACTTATATGGAACTACGTGTACTGGTCTTACATCGACAGGTAGCTGAATGATTTGGGTCAGGAGTGCACGTCGACTACAAGCTTCGTCATTGATGAGTCCCTTCTCATTGTAGTGAACACTTACAACAAGTAATGCGAAATATTCCGTGGATCGCACCACAACCAACGCCACTGTCCCAAATCTACGATAGTTCTGAAGCGTTGGCTTCCCGGAGACACATGTGGCATATACTGGAACCTACTTCTGTTACATTTACCTAGCTTTTTAACCAAATGTTTCGATAGAGATATTTGTTGACATACTGAATCCTGCTCTTCACAGTATAGGTGAGGGTGGGTGTATCGAGGAAATAGTTGGTTGCTATTTTCTTCTGTAACACCGGTCTATATTTAACATGCAGTCGCCGAACGGTGCTGTCCAGCGGAGGCTTTGGTGGGCAAATGGCTCCATATGTTCTTGATGCACCCAGGCAACTCTCATTTTAGTCATCTGGAAAAGAAACATAAAAATTAAAAAAAGATTTAACCGGCAACACGGATCAAACTTTCACTCATTCAAGCGTGGTGAGTCAGTGCTAGTCCGCCATTACTAGAAAGGCCGCGCAGCATAGGCAACAAGGATGTCTGAACTCAGGCTTAGAAATGTCTCACATGAATTACTTATGCCATCTCAGACCTGATTCCACTACTCAAACACACCTGCGACCGATATTGTAGCAGCCTGATGCGATGAAGAATTGCGAACTAACTATTAGTGAAAAGCTTAAACTTGCAAAGGACATCTGTGGACATCTGCTCCCTAGCAAATTTTGAAACCGACGTTCTGAACTGTGAAATCGCACCAAAATCGCTCCAGCCAAGGAGACGGATTAACAGACGTAGAACCCGGCCTTTAAGGCTGTAGGCCAATCCCGGGCTTTTGTTCTGTAATGTTTCTGTTACCTAGAGAGAACTGTTCTCGAGGAAGCTCAGTACTGATTGAATGGCGTCAAAGTACTGTAGCCGCTGGGCTGTTCAATGAGCAAAAAACGTGCTTAAATCTTATTGGCTCGATCCCAAGTGGATTATTTGGACCACATTAACCTGGCCAATTTTATACATACCACCTGCGTTATGTCTCCATTCTGTTCCAATTTTTTGATGAATGTGCAATAGCACGTTTGCAGTCATTGAATCCAACTTTTCTCGGTTGGAGACTAGGAGTTTCGTGAAGCTGATGGTTGGTGACCGGAATAATACAGATTTTTGAAGATCTAACTCACGCATTGGTTCATTAGCATCTAACATCGCTCTTTGTATCTAGTTTGCTACTTGTTCTCCGCTTTTAACAACTTTGGAACATGGTAAGGAGTAAGCTAGTTTCCGTGAGGCAGAAATTCGTGGCCGGACATCTCAAGTCCGTACCATGGCTATTGCGGATGGGCTAAAATAGCACCATGAAAAGTTGTAAATCATATGACTGGAACAAATGGGGCACTGAGTGCACATTTGACACTCGAATAAACAGCCCTGGATTTGCAGCTAACGAGTACATGTTACTGAAGTGATTCACTGATATTTAAATCCTGTTGGTGCTGCAAGGTTGAAACCCAGTTTGTTAATCGGGAGGCTGATTCCTCAAGTTGCAGAAACATCTTTTGATACTACTGTGCAACAAAAAAACTTATCTATAACAGAAATGTCAACGTCCCTACCTTATATAATACACCATTGATCGTAGAAATGTATTCCTATGTTACCTAGCGCGACAGTTTGCATCGTTATAAACAAATGGTCATTTCAGTAATGTCAAGCCTACGTTGTGCGAATTATATGCGGATATACTGAATCACAACATATGCTGAAAGCATCTATATGACAAATACGTTTAAAACCACTGCAATACTCGCCGCTAACTACTGACTTCGCTGAGGTCGTCGTTTGTATGATCCAGCACCCTCATGCTGCAGAAACCAGCCAAAGTCACCCATCATAGGTGTGTATCTGCTCCTGTAGCGCTGCTCCATGACTATAATGTCCTGCTGAAAGAGCTCACGATGCTCATCGTTCACAGATCCGAAGTTCACAGGGAGAAAGGCCAGGTGATTATGCAAAAAGTGCATCTTGAGTAACATTCCAGCACCAACAACCCCACAGTCCACAGTTTTTGTGATGGTCTTGTAGTTCTGTGCTTTTCTTCTGCCCAAAAATCATGTACACATTGCCTTGAATGATCACCGCGCAACTAAATCAAATGAAGTCAACTTGCACTCAAAGAACGTCAATCTCCAAAGATAACGAACAGTGGCTTAAAGCAAAACTCGTGGATCTTGAACACCGGTGTCGAATCTCCATCTCTGGTCAAAGATCTCCCCTCGAAGCTAAACATTTAGAGGCCTTAAAACCACTCAGATCAAAGGGAAAGTTGGTTGTCCTTCACTCAGACAAAGGTTCGGGTGCTGTAGTGTTAGACAAATCGGCTTATGTAGAAAAGATGATGACAGCACTGAGCGACCGTACTAAATTCGAACCAAACGACACGCCCAACAACCCAATGGAGTTGGAGAAAAGAATAAACGTCGAGCTGCAAATGTTG